TACACAGTAAATACGCAGTAAATACACACTGAGATACGCAGTAAATACACAGTAAATACGTAGTAAATACGCAGTAAATACGCAGTAAATACGTAGTAAATACGCAGTAAATACACAGTAAATACGCAGTAAATACGTAGTAAATACGCAGTAAATACGCAGTAAATACGCAGTAAATACACAGTAAATACGCAGTAAATACGTAGTAAATACGCAGTAAATACACAGTAAATACGCAGTAAATACGTAGTAAATACGTAGTAAATACACAGTAAATACACAGTAAATACGTAGTAGATACACACTGAGATATGCAGTAAATACACAGTAAATACGCAGTAAATACACAGTAAATACGCAGTAAATACGTAGTAAATACGCAGTAAATACGTAGTAAATACGCAGTAAATACGTAGTAAATACGCAGTATATACACAGTAAATACGCAGTAAATACACACTGAGATACGCAGTAAATACACAGTAAATACGTAGTAAATACGCAGTAAATACGCAGTAAATACGTAGTAAATACGCAGTAAATACGTAGTAAATACGCAGTAAATACGCAGTAAATACGTAGTAAATACGCAGTATATACGCAGTAAATACGTAGTAAATACGCAGTATATACACAGTAAATACTCAGTAAATACACACTGAGATACGCAGTAAATACACAGTAAATACGTAGTAAATACGCAGTAAATACGCAGTAAATACGTAGTAAATACGCAGTAAATACACAGTAAATACGCAGTAATACGTAGTAAATACGCAGTAAATACGTAGTAAATACGCAGTAAATACGTAGTAAATACACAGTAAATACACAGTAAATACGCAGTAAATACGCAGTAAATACGTAGTAAATACGCAGTAAATACGCAGTAAATACGTAGTAAATACGCAGTAAATACGTAGTAAATACGCAGTAAATACGTAGTAAATACACAGTAAATACACAGTAAATACACAGTAAATACGCAGTAGATACGCAGTAAATACGTAGTAAATACCCAGTATATACACAGTAAATACACACTGAGATACGCAGTAAATACACAGTAAATACGTAGTAAATACGCAGTAAATACGTAGTAAATACGCAGTATATACACAGTAAATACACACTGAGATACGCAGTAAATACACAGTAAATACGTAGTAAATAAGCAGTAAATACGCAGTAAATACGTAGTAAATACGCAGTAAATACACAGTAAATACGCAGTAAATACGCAGTAAATACGCAGTAAATACGCAGTAAATACGCAGTAAATACGCAGTAAATACGCAGTAAATACACACTGAGATACGCAGTAAATACACAGTAAATACGCAGTAAATACGTAGTAAATACGCAGTAAATACGTAGTAAATACGCAGTAAATACGTAGTAAATACGCAGTAAATACGTAGTAAATACGCAGTATATACACAGTAAATACGCAGTAAATACACACTGAGATACGCAGTAAATACACAGTAAATACGTAGTAGATACACACTGAGATACGCAGTAAATACACAGTAAATACGCAGTAAATACACAGTAAATACGCAGTAAATACGTAGTAAATACGCAGTAAATACGTAGTAAATACGCAGTATATACACAGTAAATACGCAGTAAATACACACTGAGATACGCAGTAAATA